GCTTATATTATTCGTTAATAAATCTATGTAGAATACAATGCTAATTCATTTAGATTCGTTTTGATAATTTTTTAAATTAAAATAGGTTATTTAGTATAGTATTATTAATATTACAGTACCGAATTTTGTCTCTCTCTGTATAACGATCTCTCCTTATAACGATGAAAATTCTCGGTCCCTTGCATATCGTTATAGAGAGAGAGGACTGTAGTTAAACCAGAAAATCAAACGATACAGGAAGTCGGTCAGATAGCTCAGCGGGCTGTGCGGCTGCCTCTCATTCGCTTCACTGTCGAATGGTTCAGTGGATGTGGGATCGAGCCCCAGCTCGGTGTACAGAAAACAAAAAGTCTAACGCAGCAGTTTAAAATTCTAGATGAATCTGCGGCTAAGACTAGGATATGCTGGGATCTGATCGGCCTATGGTGGAGCAGTACGGCAAGAGATAAGGGCTTGCGGCTCAGTGATACTCCTCCATAGATCCCTACCGGACGGGCGTAACGCCTAAAAAACCGGATATATATATATATATATATATATATATATATATATATATATATATATATATATATATATATATATATATATATATATATATATATATATATATACAGGAAGTACCATTTGAAATTGTTTGAAATTGGCTGGAATAGTCTGTAGCAGTATTAATATTAAATTTTCACCCCCCAATTTACTTTCAAATGTATTAAAAACATTTTATTTTGTTAATAAAAAAATTTATAAAATTTATAAATTAGTGCAAAAAACTGTTTTTTTTTTGCAAATATCTCCGTAAATTATTTATCAATTTTAATTTAAAAACGGAATAATAAAAATATTCTTGATATAAAAAAATGATATAAATATTGTCTATGTAAAATATAAGTGAAAAAACTTATAGCCAAAAATCTAATTGTGACCATAAATTATTGTTTAAAAAAAAACGCAAGGTAAAAATACGAGTACTTTTTCATCTATTCGTCATCTAGTAACTCCCGCCTATGTCTTAAAAGCTTTCTATATCTGCGAAACATTTTGCCGTGAAATCAATTACTTTGCACATACTGGGCTATTTTTGTCATTTTAATGTTTTTCATACATGTAATCTCATGATTATTTTTGTATATAAACCACTTTGACAGTTCCCATAATCCATATTTGCTTTCTTAACACTAGACAGCGTGGGATTGCCAGTAACACAAATATCCGGTGAATATGCAGACCAAAACGTCGAACATGTCATTCCAAAGGTGACTTTCATAATTCTCTTCCTCCTGATATTCAATTCCGTCAAGAAATATTTGGTTACGCAACTAGGTGGGCTTCTGAAACCAAAATTAGTATTTTCTTTTCTTGTAACAACGCTCTTCAATCACTGTTCAACACGAACTGACAGACAGGAATATAGTTTATTAATGTACAGGGTGATTCCAACAGTAACTATTTAAACTCAGTAAGCTGTCATACACAAATAAAATATTTCTGTATTTAAAAAACAACCGCATCTACGATAATGGTTATTACCGAGAAATACAATAAAAAACTAGTTTTTATAAAATATTTGTATTTATACGTTGCAAATTTGACATATAGGTGGCTCACTTTTCGAAATAGGCGAGAAAATGAATATGAGAGAATAAGTATCTTCGTCGCTTTTCGCCTTCTTGAGTCTTAGCGAACTTTTTGTTGGTATTTTCTACATTGATAGAAATCTGTGTCTTTAATGAGAATGTTGCTGGCGATGTGTGCCGATTTTTTGCAGTTATCACAAGCCATACCTTCTTGAAATAAGAATATTCGATAGTTGGATTGTCGAAATCTAAAATAAATGTCAGGGTAACGAGATATTGTTTTAAGCTACCCTAGACAGGCAGAAAAAATTTGCATTGGACAGCGATGCCAGCAACAGTGCAATAAGATATGTTCTCTCCCAAATCCAAGTTGGGCAGGTAAAACTCATCGTTTACTTTAGCAAAGTCTTCTCGAAACCAGAAAGAAACTATTGCGTTACATTAGGAGAGAATTGCTAGGCGTAGTGAAGGCTTGCGAGCATTTCCTCTTCGTACGGATTACGCCGCTTTAAAATGGTTATTACAATTCCGCAAACCACAGAGCCAGATGGCAATATGATTAGAACGATTACAAGAATATGATTACGAGATCGAAAACAGAGCTTCACTTAAATGCTGATGCTCTTTCGAGACGGCCGTGCAGTGTAAATTGTAATCACTGCCTTAAATTAGAAGAACGACTTTGCCCCGTGAGACGAAACAGCGTCATTAATGATCAATGGCAGCCTAAACAGCTACAAGCAGATCCATGTATAAAAAGAGTATTGGATTGGATGCATCAAAGTGAGATACCTACTTGGCAAGACATTAATGCATGTAGTCTAGAAGTCAAGTCTTACTGGATCCAATGGAATTGCCTAGTGCTAAAAGATGATCTTCTATATAGAACGTTTGAGAACGATGATGGTACAGAATCTAAGCTTCAGTTGATTCTAGCTAAAAGTAGAGTGTCAGAAGTATTGCGTCAGTTGCATAACGGTGCATCAGGCGGATACTTTGGTATTACGAAGACTTTCTAAAAGGTTCGAGACCGGTTCTATTGTAAAGATGCTATAAGAAGGTGGTGCAGGAAATGTGAGCGGTGTGCAACCAATAATGGTCCAGTTGGTAAAAAAAGAACACCCAAGAAACAGTACAATATTGGTAGTATTATGGAAAGAGTAGCAATTCACATTGCAGGTCCTCTTCCAGAGACGAATGATGGAAATAAATATATCCTGGTAGCCATGGATTATTTTACGAAATGGATTGAGGATTATGCGATACCAAATCAAGAAGCTGCTACCGTTGCAGAGGTACTGGTTAAAGAATTCTTTAGCCGATTTGGTGTTCCCTTGGAGATCCACTCCGACCAAGGGCGAAACTTCGAGTCAAACCTTTTCCAAAACGTTTGTAAATTGATTGGCGTCAATAAGACCAGAACGGCACCCCTTCATCCTCAATCAGATGGAATGGTCGAGAGAATGAACCGAACGATGGGTAAACACCTGTCCAAAGTTGTATCAGAACATCAAAGAGATTGGGACCAGCACATTCATTTATTTCTAATGGCCTAGCGCTCGGCTGTGAATGAAACTACAGGCTAGACTTCAACCTGCCTGATGTTAGGCCGTGAAGTTCGTTTAACTAGCTACTGCAAGCGAAGAATATGTCGACTGCCTGAAGTTAAGAATGAACAACATTCATGAACTTTCCCGACAACGCATCCAGTTAGCTAGTAACAGAATGGAAGATCAATATGATTCTCTATGCAAGAATGAAAGCTTTGAAGTAGGTAATATTGTTTGGCTTTATAATCCACAACGTCGCCGAGGCTTGTCACTTGCTTGCTACTTGCGCTGTCACTACTGTAGTAGTGACAGCACAGTGATCAGTGAACAGTGTAGTATTGTCTGGGGGCTCGGAGGACTGAGACCTCGGAAGGCCTGAGGAAGGCATCAGAGAGGATGCCGAAAGATCGGCAAAATGGATATCGACGCGGTTCAACCCGGAAGACTGGTGAGTTTGATATTAATTTTTGTAATAATATTAATCTTAGCTCTAGGTTTCATTTCCGAACATTATATATATATATATATATATATATATATATATATATATATATATATATATATATATATTATTAGTTAAATTAGTTGATAAGATATTATTGTGCTGTAAACTTATAAATAAATATATTTATACAAATTAGAAACACGCTACAATATATAATCCAACTTGTACATACACTTAAACAGACTTCAATGTGGCTTATCTCTAAGACTTAAACTAAATCTTTCCTCGCCCTAAATACTAATTTTCACTAGCGTCTAGCCGTTGGCAGGTCAGGATAATCCTGACCAATCCAATCGCACTTGAGTATATGTGTGGCGCGTCATTTAAATTATGTACATATTTGAATGTAACAGAACAGTTCTCATTTCTCATATCACGAAACGTTCTCGGATTGTTCACTCAAACAAGAAGTAATGTTTAGTTGTTTTAAATACACAGTTTTATTATTTTACATATTATAAATACTATCTTATTGTGAGTTGGCAACAAGTGAGTGAGGGCTTGTCTGCTTGTCACTTATTAAGATTAAAGATTATAGATCATAGTTGTTGTTATTTGTTATGTTGTTGTATAATAAAAATAATTACCACAATCAAATATCAGCAATAAACTGATGTTCATATAGACTTGGAAATAATTGTCCAATATTAGTTAGATGTCCAATGTGTGTTTTTATAAAATTGACTTCAGCTTTTTCTGCCAAATCAACCACAACCGTGAGACTGCTGGGCAAAATCCACCAATTTTCATACTGCCTTTCATTTTTAAGTGCCTTTTTCCTTTGCTTTCAGAATTAAAGCAACCTGACCGATGACAGAGAAACTTCATTGTTTTGTGAGTCTTTGCGGAAAAGTTCTCGACTTTAACGTATTTGGTTTTTGTACTACTTTCAATAAAACATTTCCACTCCTGACAAGAGACTAAATTGGAAAATTGAAGTGTTTCACTTTCTAGGATTAGGTTGTGTTCTTCTTGAAAATGAGAATGCAATTCTGCAACATAACTTGAATAAAAATTATACAAAGGACACTTCTTAGAATCTTTCTTGATTTTGCTATCTTCCGTTGAAGTGTCTACAACATTTTTATGAGTTTCTGTGTATTCAAAACAATTAAACATAACTCCTTATTTGTGTGAACAATCTGAGAACGTTTCGTGATATGAGAAATGAGGACTGTTACACTCAAACCCATGATACTTAGTATCATGACTCAAACCTATACATAATTTGAATGACGCGCTACACACAAAATCAAGTGCGATTGGATTGGTCAGGATTATACTGACCTGCCAACGGCTAGACGCTAGTCTAATTTTCGCAATATATTAAAATATGTTATTTAATTTGATAATGATAGAATTAATGTCTATGACTTACCTTAAAGAACCAGTTGAGCATATAGTGGTACGGATTGTATAATTATATAATTTACCTGAAACAAAAATTAGCAATAATCAGATCTAGTATTATAATAAGAGGGGCGATTATAAACACATTTTATCGGGGAGGCGGTATCCCATACCTTAAGTGCGTGCCTCCGAGCGGCGGGATAGGGGCGACAGTACACTGACTTGGCAGTCCTTAGTCCTTGCAGTAGGAATCCTGAAAATAGACATGTAAGCGGTGGGGGGTAATAAATACAGAACAAAACCTCCTAAGATCTATAAATGACTAAATGTCACCATGGGAAAAATCAATTTATTTACCTTAAATAATTCAGCTAGTCTAAAAATAGCTATAGATCATGAAAATATTTAAGAGTAATCTCAATCATTGTTATAAAAGATGTTAACATAACGGCGGGCGAACCTTCGACACCAAATTGTCTTTGTACCTGGGGTAATCGAAGGGTCAAATTTTATTATAGAAAATTTCGACACCGCGGCGTAGAGCAGGTAGGTAGGTAATTAGCGGCGATGGACATTTGCACCCAAGCAGGACAAGCGGGTTTTCCCAATATTTATTGTCACGGCGGAGGGCGTGGCACTTGTGTACTTGTGACTAAATTATTTCAGTTGTAATTTATTTCTTGTTTGACGCTGACTTGTGCACGTATAAGTTTAAAATGAGTTTGATAAAAAGTTCCCGTGGTCGAGATTTATTAGTGGTGGAGCATCATTCGTTCTCGAAACAGAAAGTGTTAAAAAGCGGCGAGATATTTTGGCGCTGCATCCAAAGAAACACTAAGTGTTCCGCAAAAGTGTTTACAATAGGCTGTGAGGACCTCACCATCACAAGAAGTGATTTGGTACATAATCATGAAGCCGATCCAAAAAAGCTTGAAGTAAAGATGGTAACTAATGCATGTAAAAGAAAAGCCCAAGAGGACATATCGGAAAAATCTGCCAAAATTACAAGAACTGCTGTTGCTGAGTGCGATGCCAATTTGCTGACGGTTCCTGACATAGCTAGCATAAGAAAGAACATTTACAACTGTCGTCGTAAACTGTTACCAGGTCCGTTACCAAGAAGCATATCAGAAGTCCATAACGCGGTTAGTAATTATTCTCCTAAAACCTGTCGCAATGAAAGTTTTTTGTTTTTAAATCATCCTGAATTAAATGTAATTGTATTTTCATGCGAGACAAATATTCGTTTGTTGTGTAAATTAAAAACTTTGTATATGGATGGTACATTTTCATACAGTACCAAATATTTTCTACAATTAATTACAAGGACAAATTGTCAATTACATACAAAAATTTATTTTCTTTATTAAGGTCTAAGATTTTTGAAACATTTCAATTATCATTAGAGCCAACTGAAATATTTGTGGACTTTGAAAAAGCAATTCACTGTGCTTTATAGTATATGTGGCCCAATGCAAAAATTAGTGGATGCCGTTTTCACTAACACCAAAACTGGTTTAAAAAAATTCAATCTTTGGGTTTGGTACAAGAATATAAGGATACAAATTCAGAAATTGGAAAATGGTTAAGGCATACGTTTGGTTTAACTTATTTAAATCCAGCAGAAGTTGAAGAATGCTTTCTTTCTGATTTAATGTCATATAAACCTATAAACGCAACACTTGATATATATGCAGATTATTTACTGGAAAATTACATTTTCGATAGCGCTCTATTTCCACCACACATATTATGGTCTAATCAGAATCCGTCTATTGCGAGGACCACAAATGCCTGTGAATCCTTTCATTCGAGATTTAATTCTTCTTTTTATTCAACACATCCTTCTATTTTTATTTTTATTTAAAAGTTAAAAGGATTTCAAGTAGACACGTATGTCAAAATAAATAGTTTACATATACCAGCAAAAATCAAAGATACTACTGTTAAGGCTAAATTGGCATTTTTGGAGAAAATGATGGATAAACTACGATCCCAACAAACACGTAGGTTAGATTTTATAAAAGCTGTATCTTATCATTCCTATAATAGGAAATAAATCATTGTATACAAGTATATTAACGGTAAAATGTACAAAAATTACGTACTAGTTGTATTATATTTAGATATTATTACAGTTATAAAGAAATAAAATGCACATTACTTTTATTACAATAAATAAATTAATTAATTATGGTATTTTATTTATGTCGCAGCTATATTTATTTGGTGTCGAATATACCTGTAAGATAAAAACGGGAATTGGGGCTGGTGTCGAAAATTGCCATTAAATTTTAGTCGCTACCTGCTTAGTGTCGAAATTTCCTACGCCCTAACATAATACTTCTAAAGAAGAAAAATATAACCGTTGGTCCATATAATTGCTATGGAAGATCGACGTCGAATAAAAAATATTCAAGTGATAATGATCCAAAATCTAATTACTAGGGAAGTGTTAAAACAACTTCCAACCACTATAATAAAATTAACACATCTTATAAACGCTTCATTTAGGCTGAGGTATGTACCAAAGATATGGAAGGTGGCAGAAATTATAATGACACTAAACCCAGGAAAACCTACAGAAGCTTCTTCATATATACCTATTTCACTGTTACCTGTCATGTCTAAATTATACGAAAAATTACTCTTGAAGAAACTAAAACCGATTATAGAGGAAAACAATCTAATTCCTAATCATCAGTTTGGGTTTAGAGTAAGCCACTCAGCGATAAATCAGGTGCATAGAATAACAGATATAGTAGAAAAAGCTCTAGAAGAAGGAAAAGTCTGTTCTGCAATTTTCCTCGATTTAGCGCAGGCTTTTGACAAAGTGTGGCATGACGGATTATATCATAAAATGAGATGCTACTTACCAAATCAAGATTCTGAACTACTAAAGTCATATATATTCGACAGATACTTTCAAGTTAAATATAAGGAAGCATATTCAGAATTAAGAGAAGTTAAAGCTGGAGTTCCACAGGGAAGTGCCCTGAGGCCAGTGCTATACCTGCTCTATACCAGCTATATTCCATCATTAGAACCTAACACAATTGCGACATTTACAAACAACACATGCATTCTAGCAGTCGGACAAAACCACGAGGATGCAGCAACTATGCTATAGAAGTCTGTTGAACAAATTAACATCTGGACCAGGCGATGGTGTATCAAATTGGATGAAACACAATCTGTTCATGCCAATTTTACTAACAAAAGAGAACAACATATCCCAGTTAATATAAATAGAAATCAAATACCTTATGCAAATACGGCAAAATATTTGGGTATGACATTAGATTCCAAGCTACGTTGGAAAGCACATAAGAAAAAAAAGGAGAACTTAGAAATTAAGTTCAGAAAGATGTACTGGTTGATTGGAAAAAAATCCACTCTGTCTCCTTATAACAAATTGTTATTGTATAAGCAAGTCCTTAAACCGATATGGACATATGGGATACAGCTATGGGGCTGTACAAAAGAAAGTAACATCCAAATTATACAACGATATCAGAATAAATTATTAAGGAACATAGTTAACGCTCTATGGTACATCAGAAACTGTGATCTTCATCGAGACCTCCAGATTGATACGGTTATCCAGACAATAAGTAATTTTGCCGAGAGTCATGAACAAAGGCTCTCCAACCACGTGAATTTCGAGGCCATCAAACTCAACGCCAACCAGAGAAGAAGACTTAAGAGAGCGAAGCCGTTTGAGTTAGTGCTATAAGTGAGGGAAAGTGAAAAAGCAGAGCAAAGTGAGGCTAAAGTGTACACGTTAGTTAGTAGTACTATAATGTATTAGAGCCTAAGGAATATTGCTGAATGTAAAAGAGCTACATCAAAAAAAACAAACGTTTTCGGACTAAACAGTCCATCATCAGGTTTAAAATTTTAAAATTGCAAGGTTATAATGCCTGAGCCACCAAAATACCTGGGTAAAAGCCCTTTAAATTACATATAGTTTATACATAGTTTACATATAGTATAGTAAAAGATTATACATCATGTTGTAAAAAAACTGTGATGTTTAGTATTAAATTAAATTTGACTTCAAGTAACATACATGGCTGAAGTGAGTTCCAGAGCCGGAGAGTAAACCTCTTCAAACGGAGAACAGCTGGTTGTCTAGGAGTTTGATGGCCTCGACATTCACGTGGTTGGAGAGCCTTTGTTCATGACTCTCGGCAAAATTACTTATTGTCTGGATAACCGTATCAATCTGGAGGTCTCGATGAAGATCACAGTTTCTGATGTACCATAGAGCGTTAACTATGTTACTTAATAATTTATTCTGATATCGTTGTATAATTTGGATGTTACTTTCTTTTGTACAGCCCCATAGCTGTATCCCATATGTCCATATCGGTTTAAGGACTTGCTTATACAATAACAATTTGTTATAAGGAGACAGAGTGGATTTTTTTCCAATCAACCAGTACATCTTTCTGAACTTAATTTCTAATTTCTCCTTTTTTTTTCTTAATATGTGCTTTCCAACGTAGCTTGGAATCTAATGTCAAACCCAAATATTTTGCCGTATTTGCATAAGGTATTTGATTTCTATTTATATTAACTGGGATATGTTGTTCTCTTTTGTTAGTAAAATTGGAAAATTGGCATGAACAGATTTTTTTTTATAAAAAAATATTATCCAAAATGAATAAGATGATACGTCTTACAAAGAAGTGCTTGAAGTGACATTCTATAGTGTACGAAAATGCTCTTATTTTGTTTTAAAATATCAGGAAACGATTTTGCCCTACTTACAAACACTACAAACAATTAATTGTCAGAACTATTATATAAAGAAAAGAGACTCACAGAACCATGTACATCAACTAAATAACAGTGAACAATCACTCTGTAGTGTAAAAACATTTTCTTACGCAAGTTTAAAATGACAGGAAATCATTTTACTCTACTTACAAACATACAGACAATTCTCAGAATTATTGTACAAAAAAAAGATGAACAGAACCCTGTAAATAATCTAGAACGGTGTTACATATTTTCCTTCCTACATAATCTTAAGTGGCGACAAGCTGAGAGCGTTTGATGAATATTTATCGTTTAC